CCCCCCCCCGCCCCTGGGTCCTCGCGCTTCCCGGGCGGGTGCCCTTCTTCAGGAAGCTTATGCTCCCTCCGCCCGCACACCCGCGACCGGGCTCCCCGCTTTTTCGGGGCCGGTAAATCCGAAGTCCATTTCCTCCCCCCTCCCAGGGATGGAGACGATCTGGTGAACTACCGCTGCTCGCCCCCGCCCCGCCGGCACGGGGAGAGATGCGACCCCCCCCCCCCCCTCGCCAGGGAGGCGGCCTTTTCGCCATGCAACCTGCCAGCCCCCGAGGGTGAACCTGGCCGGACATCCCACATCCGACTCCCTCCCCCTGCTGCCCCCTGCCCCTGCCCCCTTCCTCCCCTCGTCCGATACACGCGCCCGGCTGCGCGCACGCGCGCACTCCCCAGATCCGCTCCCCCTAGCCTCCCCCGCCTGCCGTGCCCCCCCCCTCCCCCCCCCTTCCTGATCCGGGCTGCTCCGTCGGAGGGCTCCACCGAGGGCGAGGCGCGTCGTTGCCGCCGCTGCCACCACCACCGCCACTGCTCCTGCAGCCACTGCCACTACCAGAGCAGCTGCGTCAGCGGCGGCCCCACCTCCCGCCGGCTCCCTGGCCTGCTTTTCCCCTTGCGCCGCCCCCCCCCCCAGCAAGGGCCAGCAAGTGAGGCCCTGCCCGATTGTCGACCCACTCTCTGGATCTGCTACGTCCGCGGATCAACACTATGAATTTGACCCGACACTCGGGCATCCCCATCGTATCTGTGCGCGGTGACCCCCGGCGCCCCGTCCTGCACTCTGCGTACACCATCTCGGTCTCTGGAGCTGACACACACACACACACACACACACACACACACGCACGCACGCACGCACGCACGCACGCACCGTGCTCTGGCGGTGCCCCTCGCGCAGCCCACCCTCTTCGGCGCCATCGATCCCCTGCCAGTGACTTGGGGGCGCGTCTGAATGGGGTCCGACCAGCTGGGACGTCGACCGCCGCCCCCGCGCCAGCCGGTCGCCAACGCCCCCATCAGCACCACCACCACCACCACCACCACCACCACCACGGCCAACATGCTCCCGCAGCAGGTCCTCCACCCGGCCGGCGCCACGACCAGTGCCACCATCGCCACCGGGCCCGGCGCCGACCCGAGCTCCCTGCTTACGGGGCATCACCACCACCACCACCACCATCACCATGCGCATGGGGGGGCTTGCGACCCGACGGTCGGCCAGCCAAGCTCCCTGTCGCCGTACCCCGGGGCCGGTCCATCCCACTCGGCCACCACCCTGCCGACCGTCTCCTCGTCCACCTCCTTCGCCTCGATCTCGCCCTCCTCCTCGCCAGTGACCCCATCGGCCGGCGGCGGGACCGGGCCCGGCCCCGCCGGCGCGCCAGTCTCCGCGTCCAAGTCCTGGCGGTCCAAGTTCAATCGCTTCATCCGGTTTTCCAGCGGCGGCCCCAGCCCCACATTGAGCACCACATCCAGCGAGTCATCCTCCCTGCTGTATCAGCCCTCCCCGCCGCAGGTGGTCTCCCCCTGCACCGAACGCCTGGCCACCTCCTCCCTTCCCTCGACCCCGCGGCTGACGGTCAATTCGGAAGCCGGCGGCATGGATGCCGCTGGGCCCCGGGGCCCGGGCCCCCTTGATGAAGGTGCCTCGGCCTCGCCGGCCCCCGATGCTGCGCGGATCACCCCCGACCGGGCCTCCCTACTGGCCTCTCTGGGCCCCGGGCCAGCGCGGCCTGCCGGCTCGCCTGGGGCTGATCCCCTTCGCCGGAGCTCCTCGGCTCCCGGGCCGCCGGCCTTTCTGGCTGATCCGGCCGGCGCCTCGGCCGGGGGGGCCTCGCCCCGGGTCGCCCCGGGCACCCTCATCCACAGTCGCCCCCCCTCGATGGACGATGCGGAAATCCAGCGCGCCATTTCGGAAGCACGCGACGCCGCGCGCGAGGAATATGCCAAGGCGCTGGCCGCGCGCGAACGCGCCCGCCGGCGCGAAGTCATCCTCACCGGCCTGGTGGAGCCACTCTTCCAGCCCCTTCTCGGGCCTGATGAGGATGCCTCCCGGTCGCCGGTTGGCCATGCGTCCTCCATGGCCCCGGTCGCCGCCGCCGCCGCTGCCGCCCATACCCCGGTCGCCACCGGCACCGCCACCACGCCTGGGCCCTGGTCGCCCTTTTCCCCGGCCTCCTCGGCGACCGCCGGCGGGGGCCCCGGGGAAAATGCCTCACATCTGGCCCGGCTCCAGCGCGACGACGCGTACTGGGCCTTCCGGCAGGATCTCATCGCGCGCCTGCTGGGGAATTCGGACCTCCTGCCGGGCGACCGGACCTGGCCCGTGTGCTCGGGATTGCTTTCCATCCTCCCGGAGGAGGGCCCCTCCCCCGGGCCAATCACCGCCCAACAGGAGGGCGATGAGGGGCCGGCCGCCGCCAATGACGAGCCCCCTGCCGCCCTGGTGCCCGGCCAGCAGCCAGACTCCGCCACCACTTCGACCTCCTCGCTGACATCCACCAGCCAGGCATCGGCACCTGCGTCCCCTTCGCCGGGGATGGGCCCCGGCGGCCGGCGGTCCAGTGCGGTCCTTTCGCCCCCGACCCCCTTGCTGTCCCCCGGCGGCGGCGCCGCCGCCGCCATGCAGCAGTATTACGTCGGCCCGCGGCGGCCCCCACCGTCGCACGACCCGTCGGCGGCCAAGTGGCTGGGCTTCCACCAGTATGACCTGGCCCGGGTGCCGGACATGACCCCGTGCGGCTTCGACACCTGGGAGTTCGTCTTCAACCCCAGCCAAACGGCCCCGGCGGTGGTGCCCCTCAGCGCCTTGCCGCCCAATTCCCAGATGTCCTTCTTCAGCAGCAGCAGCGGCAGTAGCAGCGCTGGCGCTGGCGCCGGCCCCGGGGGAGCTGCCCCCTTGCGCGCATCCTCAACCACCTCCCTCTCGTCGATCGCCTCGCTGGCCCTGCCGACTTTGGTCCCGGCGCTGGTTGTCCCGCCCTTGGCAGCGACTCCGGCCGCCGTGGCTCAGTGCCCCGGTCGCCGTGCCTCAGCCGACCCCTGTCCATACGGTCAATTGGCCGCCGCTCCGCCCTCCGGCGGGCAGGCAAGCCCTTCACAGCAGCAACAAAAACAAAGGCACGACCAGCCACCTCGAGCCACTCCTGCGCCTCCGGACTGGTCGGGTGTCTCGCCAGCCCCGCCCTCCGGGGGTCCCCCATCCGCCACTGCCTCCCGGTCTCCCTCCCGCGACAACCCATCCAAGGATCCAGTTGATCCCCTTGCGATGGATTCCCCCGTGGCGGCGGCGGCGGCGGCGGCGGCGGCGTCGACCACAGCGGCTGACGCCCTCCTCGGAACGGCTGAGGCCATTGATGACCTCATTTCACAATACTCCAACTACTAATAGATTTACCCCTCTCTTGTTGTCGAGCTCGATTGCCTTCGCCCACGGTGGTGCCTTGGCTTCTTTTCCGGCCCCTGGGGTGAGCATGCCGGGCATGGGAAGCAGCAATGCCCATGCTGCGCCTGGCGTGTGGGGCTCTTTCCCTTGTCGCCGCCCGCTTGCCACGGCTCCCACCGTGTCGCTGCCCGGGTTGGTGGCTGCGAAATCCGGCCTGCCAGGACCCCTATTCTGCACGTCATCCCGAGCATGCAAACACCACCCACGCTCGAGCCCTGGCCAAGCGCTCTTCTGAGGATGACCAGAAAGACCCCGCACAAGGGGGGAGGTGGAGGATAGAAGGAAGGGTTCATGTATTTGGGGGAGGAGGGAGGGGGGGGGGGGGACGTGAGGGAGGCAGGGAGGAACTCACACACACTCTCACGCTATCTGAGGCAACTGCATACGCGTTTATGTATGAAGTAAGGGGGAGGGGGGAGGGGGGGGGGGGGGGCGAACGAGAAGAGAAGGGGCAACGAGGACAGGGGGAGGGGGTAACGTGCAGCATGTGCATATGCACGGCTGCACAGCTGCTGTGGGCACTTCAGATGAGACCAAGGGAGGTGGCAGTCTTGAAGTTGACCGTGCCGAAGTCCCAGCCATCCTCCTCGAACTCGGAACCGTCCTCTCCTGAAGAGTGGAGGTTGTCGTCGTCCGAGCAGTCGGTTCCATCGTCGGAACTGTGCCGCATTCGGGGGGAGGAGCGCAGCGCGCGATTGTGCACGTGGAGAGGACATGTGAGTGGAATGAGAGAAAGGGGGGGAAAGGCGAGAGAGAGAGAGAGAGAGAGAGAGAGAGGGAGGGAGAAAGGGAGGCGTATGTGCGTGCGAGGGGGCGCGCAGCAGCGGAGGAAGCACAAAGGTCGCACCCCTCGTCGGAAGAGCGGTTCTGATCGCCGGTCTCCAGCTGCCAGCGCTGATGACGCTCAATCAGTTCGGTCAAGTACGAGGTCTTCTTGGCGGAACGGATAAATCTATGCTTGAGGAGGTCCTTGGCGGTCGGGCGCTGAGCGGCGGTGGACGAGGGGGGAGAGGGTGAGAGAGGGGACACGCAAAAAGATGGCTGCCTGCGTGCGAACACCCGAGCAGAGGGGGAGAGGGGGAGGGGGGGAAAAAAAAAAGGAGAAAAACAACATCGATGCGCACCTTATCCGCATCCATCTGGACACAGAGGGACACAAACTCCCTGAAGGGCTTGCTGAAGGAGGCATCCAGCTGCGGCGGCTCGGACTTGGGGATCAGGAAGAGCACACGCATCGGATGGAGCTCGGCATGAGGGGGGGCACCCTTGGCCAGCTCGATGGCCGTGATGCCGAGCGACCAGATGTCAGCCTTTGGGCGAGGGGAGAAAGAGGGAGCACAAGAGTCAGCTTCAGACGACGGTTCATGGGGAAGGGAAAGAGGGCAGTAGGGCGTGTATGTGTGTGTGTGCATGTGTGCGTGTGTGCGTGCGTGTGCGCGTGCGCGTGCGTCCGTGCTGGGGGGTGGGGGGGGGGGGGGGATGCGCGCATGTCCCCATCTCCTGGGCGCACCTTCTGGTCATAGCCAGACTGCTTGATCACCTCCGGCGCCATCCAGAAGGGGGTTCCAACGAAGGTATTCTTCTTGGACATGGTCGCGGACAGCTGTCCGGACACACCGAAGTCCGCCAGCTTGACATCGCCATTGGTTGAAAGGAGGATGTTGGCGGCTGCGGGAGAGGGAAGGGAGGGGGGAAAGGATGTCAGCTATGCGCGCAGGGGGGGAGGGTGCAGGGAGGTGGTGAGATGGGACAAGGGGGACAATGACGCACCCTTAATGTCGCGATGGAGCTTCCCCTCGTCATGAAGGTACTCCAGACCGCGGAGGAGCTCCCGAAGGACGATAGCGATAAAAACCTCGTCAAACGGCCCGGGCTTCATCTGTGTGTACAAGTGTGTGGGGGGGGGGGTGAGTGAGACAAAGAGAGAGAGAGAGAGAGGGAGGGGAATGCAGCAGGAAGGAGGGAGGACGGTCAGGAGGGAGGACAAAACACGGAGGGGAATGCCGACACAAAGGCAGATGACCTGGGGAGGGGAAACGCACGAGGTCAAGACATGAACCGCCACCGAGATACTCCATGACAATCCAAATATCCGAGTCCTTGAGGAAGGACCCAAAGTACTTGGTCACATAGGGAGAATCGATGCGCGCGAGGACAGCGATCTCCTGCTGGATGTCCTCGATCTCATCCTCGGCCGCCTCGAGGTCGATGATCTTGATCGCTACGAGGGTGTTGGTGGCTTTGTCGACACTGGACGTGCCCCGTTGGCCGCGCGGTCAGGGCAGCGCGCATGGTATTGTCAGTGCGGGCATGGGCCAGAAGGAAAGCAGGCACGGCACACTGTGTGCGGAGGGAGAGAGGCGGGGAGGGGGGGGGGGGGGGGGGGGGGGGGGGGGGGGGGGGGGGGGGGGGGGGGGGGGGGGGGGGGGGGGAGGGAGGGGGCACTGGACACGGCAGGAGGACATTGACGCACCCCTTGAAGACTTCGCCAAAGGACCCCTTGCCGATGCACTCCATTTTGAGGTAGAGGTCCTCGGGGTCGACATTACGATGCGACGACATTGAGACTGTGGGAAGTCGAGCGCATGTCCCCCGGGCCGGGCAGCCGCGTAGGGAGCACAGGACGTGGAAGGCACAGGGTCAGTACCGGGTGCCAAAGGCCCATGGAGGGGCTTGCGCCCATGGCATTGGCCCAGTGGGGATGATCAGGGGGCAGAGGGAGGGGGCTCGGGTGGGGGGGCGGGGGGGGGGGCGACCATATGCGGGTGCGTACAAGAATCCAGCTTCCTGTCCCGGGAGAGTCTGGTGAAAGGGCGGGCGGAGGGGAGAGGGGAGGATGCGCACTGCTTTCTACAGGGGGCAGGCTGATGAGAAGGAACAGAGGGAGGAGGGGAAGACGACCACGATGGTGAGCGAGCGGTGTTGCGCGTGTGCAAATGCGAGCGCGGAAGCGAGATAGGGGGGGGGGCGAAACCGGCCTGCATTCCGGGGAGGAGAGAGAGAGAGGGGGAGGGAGGGGAAGGGACCAGAAGACTGGCGCGAGTGAGGGGGGGGGGGGGGCTAAGCACAGACGAGCGCGGCGGGCGCCCGCCTCACGCCAGCACGGCCACACCTACACACCAGGCAGGGGGGAGAAGAAGAGCCACAGGTGGGCCTCTGCCAGCGTGGATGGCCGCGGAAGCCGCGAGATGAGATCACACCCGGCCACACGCACGCCCCCAGGGAGATGCCGAGCAAAAGAGGTGACGTACCAAGGGAGGAAGGAAGGAGGAGCTCGGAAATGCGGCGACGCGAGGGGGTGGTGGGGCGGCCCGCGAGGTGGGAGGGTACGCGGTGAGGCGCGAGGCTGGAGGGGGGGGAAAGGAGGGGGAGCGGGGGAGAGGAGGAGCGGGGTGGCTGCGTGGGGAACGGAGGGGAGGGGAGGGGACGGGGGAGAAGAGGTGGTGGCCAATCGAGATTCCGGGGAGGGCCATCGCCCGAATTTCAGATTGAAGTCAATCCCCCCTTCCCCCCGCCGCCCCCTGAGGAGAACCAACGCCCCTCCACGGCCCCCCCCCTGCCAGTGAGGCCGGGCGTCTCTCGGAGTTTGTACATGTTTGGGAACGTGACGGGAGCAGCCTGCCACCCCCCCCCCCCCCAGGATGGGGACGGGGAGCCATCCCGCCAGTCTTCGCTGCCGGGCGCGGAAGAGGGGGGAGGGGGGCAGGCGCGGATAAGAACACGGGAATAGGGGGGGACCGAGCCCCGGCGCGCGCGCGCCCCCCCCCCCCCCGGCCGGCCGGCTGGCCCCGGTACGGCCATCGAACACGGCGCATTCCCCCCTCGGAGCCCCGGGGGCGCGCCAGGGGAAGGTGCGTCCCCGTCCTTGCCCCCGGCCTCCGCCCCCCCCTTCCCGCCGGGCTGGCCGACCACAGCACCCCCCATCTGCAGCCGGGCCGAGGATGGGCAAGCCAGCCGCGACGACCGGCCGGCGGCCAACCCGCTACGGGAAGGTGCAACGCTCCGAAGGCCGAGGGGGGTCGGACTCACCCCCCCCCCCCCCCCCCCCCCCCCCGCGTCCCGCGCCCGAGAGGCCGGCCAGGCAAGGCGGCCGACGGGCTCCGGCCGCCTGGCCATGCTCCCAAGCATCCAGGCTGCAAACGACGCGCCGGCCGCCGTCCTACTCTCGCTGCCCGCCGGGCGGTGGGTAGGCCCCCCGACGCCAGACGTCAGCAGGTCGCCGGCCCCGGCCACGGCCCCTCCCGACCGGGGGTGTTCAGCCGGCACGAAAATATGGAGCCTGGTGGCGCCTACGCCCGTTGGCGGGTCGCCCGAGCGAAGGCCGGGCCCTGTTGCACACACCCGGCACAGGCGGAAATCCCATATGAGAGGGGGAAGGCACACGCGCGCTTGGAAACTACCGGCCCCGCCCACGGGCACGCAAACATCATTGACATTGGAATGCTCTCGCGGCCCCGCCCCCCCTCGCCTACCCATGCAGCACTCGCCGGTCCGTGCCGAGGGTGTTGCGAGCACGGCGCTCGGCCACACCGGAAAGAGGCAAAGACGGGGAGCGCAGGAGGAAATATGTGATCCGGGGGCGGGGGAGGGGGGGGGGAGGGATGAGGGCGTGTGCATGGGTGGGCGCAAACGCACAGGCATGTACGCGGGGCATGTTGCCCACGTAGGACCCGACTTGGCCCCTGCGGGTTGGAGGTCGTCGTCGGCTAGCGCCGCGCACCTCCTGGTGCGAGGATGACAAGGCCACAGGGGCCAAGGGCAATCGGCCGCTGGCCCTCGGGACCGCCGGACTCGGGCGCGGAGGGTCGCCGCCACGGGAGGACAGGCGCGGCCACGGATGGCCGAACGGCGGCCCCGCAGGAAGGCGCAGGGGGGACACGGGCGGCAGCTCGGTCCCGAGAAAGCAGGACGAGAACAAAAGCACCCAGCGGGGGGACAGGGGGGGAGGCGGGCAGAGGGCCTCGAGGGGGGGGAGGGGGGGGAAGGGGCACGCCCATGCAAACGCCCCCCCCCC